TACCTTTTGGGTTTCCTTAATGGAATATACCGCTTAGCTTTTCAAACCATACTATAGCCTTGATAGCGCTCCTTTAAGAGATTTTTACCAGTCTCTCGAGAAACATCAACAAACAACGAATAGAGGACAGTTCATATGTGTGGTTCGACAATGAAAACAGTAATGAAAATAAAAACAAGTTGGTATGTCACAGAAAATTTCAATTGATTCTTTTTTCTCCACGGAGATCTTAGCCATGAAACGATTCTCATTTGAGAGAGAATGAGAGAACTAAAATTTTATTACCAAATACGCTGGACAGTTATTACAAACTGCAACATCTTTCAGTGATCTTTTATATTACAAAGTGCGGCACGGTTTATTACAAATTGCGACAATAATTACAAAGTGTGATGGATTTATTAGAAATTAGGACAGGTATTACGAGGTGCGATGATTATTGCAAATTGCAACAGTATACTTAAAACGTTCAATTTTATCTACCCAAACACAAATTTCGAACTTTTTGTCTGTCATCTTTTCTGTTCTTGAAACAAACTTTTACCCTCTGTAACTCCCACTTATTTATGCCGCGCCATCTTGACGGGCAAGGTTTTGATCGGTCATTCTAAAGCCACGTGCCTAACCGTAGGTAAAGAATAAAAGGCACATCAAGAAACCAACAACCGTTTAGAAACGTATACCATTTAGTCTACTGACGAGTGTCGAACTTTACGTTCAGTTCTATATAAACCGTCTCATAAGCTGTCCAAACTACTCACTGAAGACTTAATCCTATTTTTAATGTTCCGCTTGCTAAAATAGCTGATAAAAAATTAAAACTTAGAAGTATTCAACTCAATAGCTTCAATATTCGTCACAAATCGTTGAAACGGACCCTGCTTTTCTTGAATTTTCAAGAAAATTCTTGAGATTTACTCCTCACACTTTTGGTCTCACTGTAATGTGCCCTGTCCCTCCCCAATGTTGAGCAACGCGTATTTTGAAGCACTGAAACCACTGTAATACCCAAATCAACTTTGGGGAAGGGGAAACGCACACAAGTGTTTCAAGATTTTTGACGAGGATTGTTGCTTATCATTTTATCAAATTTAAAGGAAAGGAGAAAAAAATTGCAGCCTACGCGTTAAGGCTCTATCTAAATATTTTTTTCCTTATGTAAAATGAATGTTGCATTCATTAAAACTCACAGCTAGAAATAGTTCAAATGGAAATACTCTTCATTACGCTGAAAGATTAGCATCTTCTACCGTCAACAGTAGATTTGGTTTTCTAGTGTTCAATGCTTCAAACTTCTGTATTTTTTTTACAATTTTTTTGTGCGATTACACGCGTCACTTGAGAATTACCCTTTGGTGAAAGAAAAAAAAAAGATCACCCCAAACATGCACAGAATTCTTTGCAGACACCTGGTTTCGATTAATTGTAGTTGTTTCCTCTTTGTATACTTACTCGCTGTAGCCGTCTTCTTTCCTCTTTTGAGTAGCTGATAATACAATTCACCCTTTTGCATTTACTTCAATAAAAATTTGGTCCCCGCATTAAGAGCCGATAAGCAGGTGAAATTACTTCTCTATTCTAAGTAAGGCTAGCGCTTGCACCTAAATTTAATGACAGCCCAATACGTTGAATAATATATGAATAATATGTACGTTTGTCTTTAAAAGTCATCTGACTTCTCAAGAAACAGTTTTATATCGGAGACAAGCCTGAGACTCTGAGAGCAGTTACTTAGTGTTGTCCTTGTGTTGGTCGCCATATGTTCGTTATTTGATCAAAGTTTCCCCATCAAATGTTTCCTAATATTTTACATGACAGTTGATTATTCCCCTCAATGGCCTCTTGTTTCTATAAGCAACTAGCAACAAACAAGTATGAGAAGCGATATCGAAACAAATGTTTGGAACAATAAGGCCATGTCATGACACACCATTCTCCTTACCAGAGCTGTGATCTTTTTGGTCAGCGCCACATACCGAGAGCTCTGCCTGGCGCCGATAGAAGCAGGAAATCCTTAAAATACGGACTTTGACTTTCTAGACCATATTCCCTAAGAAAACGGAGTGGGAACTGGGGAGGGCAGCCTGCTTAGCTGGCGATTTCTTCTGGGTAAGCGCAAAAGAGCTGCCAGGTTTCGAAAGCGCCAGGGAACAAGTAAAACGCTAAAAAATATAAGTATTTTCCTGTATTCACTGAGTTAAACCCTCTGTAGGATTGAGATGTATCTCCAGCATTTTTAATTGATGTGAGAGAAGGGCCACTCTAAACTCCCACCATCAGGCACAGTCAAATTCATTATAAGATTCGCATTACGTAACTTACATCTTTTACTTTTAATAAGCGATGAGAGTTTAAGCGTTTAAGAGTTCAAGAGACTTGTAGACATAAAGAAGGCATAAGATACGTCTTCTTCGAAGACGTTCACAAAGACGTTTACCTACCCCGTGATAAGCTAGGGTACTGCGACTATTTATTAATTTAGTTAGTTTCTTTTGCCTTT